TCAAGCCGGGTTTCTGAACTTATTATTATTATAATTTTTTTTTCTTTTCCCCATGAGTTTATATGGTGTGGTTGACTGAAATGTAAAACTGACTCAACGTGTCTTGATTATATCAGATCATTTTAGTTGTATTTGACCCATGGTTTTGTGGTTTATTAAATAGGCAATGTATTGTACGTTTAATTTGATTCATTTCCACTTCAAGATCTTCATATGTACTTTGGTGGTTTTAATGAGTTATCTGGAGTTTATTTATTGACAGGTTTAAAACCCTGTTTGGCGCCCGAAAAAAAGTATTGAAGAAGAGTTTTTTTTTTCACTCTCAGGGCCATCACTGTTACAGAATTGGCGCCCGAACAGGGACATTAACTAAAATTAAGCAGACACCTTAAGTAAGTGACATTAAAAGAAGTGATAGTTTGTTATTTTGAAGTCTGAGGGGAGTGAATCAAATTGAGCTTTGTAAATTTAACCTGTGAATTGAATTTGAAGTGTGGACAATATATTTTCTTTCTGTCATCTGCACTGTTTTGATCTGCCAAATGAACTGTGAATCTGGGAATTGGTATGAACTTTTGAACTGTGTCTACTGTGAATCTGAACTCTGCAGTTAAAATTGTGCAACTGAGTTTCAATGCCAACAAAAATGCTTCAAAGTGGTTTAATGTGTATGTTGTGCTTTTGTAAATTGAACTGCTAAATTTGAGGGTGATTTACCACTTGTTTGATTTGCCCACGTTTATAATTTTTTTTGGCCCAATTTGTTATTTTGACCCTAAAAAACAAAAGACACCAAGACCCTTTACTATTTACTGATTTTCATTTTTCATTTTACATACTGACATACTGATATGGCCACTACTACACCTTCCCCATCAACATTTGTAGAGATGGAAGTACCTGAAGTGGAAACTCCCATCTGGCAGCCACCAGTCCCTATCATCTCACAGGCATATACCCCCAATTACAATCAAACATCGCAACTTTACATACTGATATGGCTACTACTACACCTTCCCCATCAACATTTGTAGAGATGGAAGTACCTATAGTACCTGAAGTGGAAACTCCCAGCTGGCAGCCATCAGTCCCTATCATCTCACATGAATATACCCCCAATTACAATCAAACATCGCAACTGGAACACAAGCAGCACTCCAGTGCAAAACCTCACCTGGGATCCGAATGTAAATTCCAAGCAGATTTGTACCACCCCCTGAGTCGTCCTCATCTGTGGGACAACAGGAGTTACCATGTGAATTACAAACACCTGGCAAAGGAACTCAACAACTGATCAAACAAGTACAGGGAGACTTGGAAACGTTAAAGCAATTTATCCAGCAACAGGAGACCACAGTTTCCGAACTCACCCAAGAGGTAAAAGATAAGTTTGTTCAACATTCAACTTAAATGTCAACTGCAGTAGCTAAAATGGAGGACAATCAGATTGCTGATAACCAACAAAAGATGGAGACAGAGATGGATCAATGGACTAAAGCCACAAAACGTTTGATCAGAGAGGAATTGAACAAAGGTGAGGCTACTGTTGTGTCTGAAGTGCGTTTCCTTATCCAACAGTTTCAAGCAGAAGTTCAACAGGATCTTAAAGTCACTTTTCAGAGTCTGAAAGACAGTCAAGAGCATCTCAAAACAGAGTTTCATCAATGCAAAACCCAAATGGATGACTTGTGCAGTAACACTCAAAAGTTTAATTTAGACCTGTCTAAAGATCTTCAAACAACGATAAAAGAGTTGACGACTTCACAACCACAGCCAGTGACTTCATCTTCCATTAGTGTACAAGCCTCATCAAGCCCAGTACCTACTACTACCGATATGCCCCCTACCATAACCAAAAGTGAGCATCTAAGACTCACCTTTCCCACATTTGGAAAACCAACTGATGATACAGACCCATAGAACTATCTGACTCAATGTCAAGATTTTCTGGCATTGCATCCTTTAGCAGATGCGGATCTTTTAGCTACATTTCGCACAGTCCTGTACGGAACCGCCTGTGACTGGTGGGAAGTTGCACGTACCTATGTATTCACCTGGACTGAATTTGAGGCTGTTTTTCTCTCTGCACTTCTCTCGGAGGACTACGAAGATGAGTTGGTGGAAAGGGTGAGAACAAGAACTCAAGGAGAGAATGAACCCATTAGAGACTTCGCTTTTTGCTATAGAGCTTTGTGCAAGAGATGGAAATCAAACTTGACTGAAAGTGAAATAGTAAAGATGATTATGAAAAACATTAAACCTCACCTTGCCAGTCAGCTCCGCAGCAGAGTATTCACTGTAGAGGAGTTGGTGAAGCTAGGACATCAATTGGAGAAGGACTATGAGCAGCAACAACGGTATGAAAGTAGTTTACATCATAAACAGCGATCTGTGACACCACAAGCACTTGTAAACCGGCAAAGGGACAAGGCTTCAGTTCAGTGCTGGCGTTGTAAAGGTCATCATTCTCCAGGAAACTGTCCACAGTTCACCTCATCCTCCAACCAATCATTTCCAAAAATGCAATCTTCTCAAAATAAGAGATCTCAACTACATCCACCGAATCACAATTCTGCAGGTTTACCCACCAGCAATGCCGTCTCAGCTATTATTGAACCTTCACATTCTGCATGGGCATCACCAGTCGTCCTAGTACCTAAAAAGGGTGGAAGTCTCAGGTTCTGTTGACTATCGGAAAGTCATTGTTATCACTGAAAGTGATGCTTATTCACTAGCAAACATCACAGAAATTCTTGAGTTCCTCTCTGGTGCAACAATATTCTCAACTTTGGATCTCAATAGTGGGTATTGGCAAGTCCCGATGGAACTGGCAAGCAAACAAAAGACCACTGTCATTACATCAGGTGGGATATACCAATTTAATGTTATGCCTTTTGGACTTATAAATGCACCAGCAACTTTCCAAAGACTCATGGAAATTGTCTTAAGGGAATTGCTTGGAGTCATATGTTTTGTCTACATTGACGATATCATTATTTATTCTCCCACGAGGGAACAACACTTTTCGGACATTCAGACCATCTTGCAAAAGTTGCAATCAGCCGGTTTAACTCTGAACCTAAAAAAGTGCAAACTCTGTCTTCATGAGATTTCCTTCCTGGGTCACATTGTCAACAGTCAAGGAGTGACTGCTGATCCAAGCAAAGTAGAGCCCATTCATGCTTATCCAGTCCTGAAAAATCTTAAGGAAGTCCAATGATTCCTGGGATTAGCCGGATGGTATCATCGATTCGTGCCAAATTTCCCTCAGATCACTGAACCGCTCAATTCTCTGAAGAAGAAAAACAAGTAATTTCAGTGGACGCATCTATGTCAACAAGCCTAAGATCACTTGAAAGCTTGTCTTTAATCACCACCAGTTCTGGGGCATCCACAGTTGCAGTTGCCATTCACTGTATATACAGATGCAAGTGACACCGGATTAGATGCTGTCCTGACTCAACGAAAAAAACAAGGCAGTGAACAGGTGATTGCTTGTGCCAGTCGTAGCTTGAACAAAGCAGAAATAAATTACTCAACTACAGAGAAAGAGTGTCTTGCCATAGTGTGGGCTCTTGAGAAGTGGCAACACTATCTGGAAGATCGACTGTTCACCTTCATCATGGATCATTCTTCTCTGCAGTGGGTAATGAATTTCAACAAAACGACCAGTAGACTCATTCGATGGGCACTTCGACTACAAAGATTTGATTTTGTGTTGGAATATCGGAAGGGAATGTTGAATGTTGCCCCTGATGCTCTTTCTCGAGTAATTCACTTAACTGAGTGTAATATGTACACTAGTAAGAAAGAGGATTCAGAGTTCCCAATTTCTCCTGAAACTATCTGGAGTGAACAACATAGTGATTCTGAAATCACTAAGATTTTTCAGCTTTTGGCAGAGCATCAAACACCTGAAAACGAACAGTACGCAGTGTTTAAATTATATCACATCACTCACCTGTCAGAGGGTAAGATCTCACTGCATGGAAAGAGTGATTTTCGTCAGTTAACAGTACTGTAAATTGCCGTGGAAGTTTCAGGTTAACGACTGTTCACGGGAATGTTCAGGCAACACAGATAATTGTCGGGAACTGCCGATAACTGATGTGGAATTGACACCCCCCTGCTGCCCATTCCCTTGGCCTAGGTGAAGCTTTCATATGTAAATGACTATACTGTGAGCTACAAATGCAAACCAGGGTAGTGTGGGGATGAACTCACTGATCAGGAGGTGATACTTTTGTAAATAATGGGCAAATTACTCAAATGTAAAGAAAATTATTAAATTGTTGCTTTAATTTTAATTTCAAATTGAATTTGAATTTTAAATGCTGTTATTCTTGACTTTATTCATCAAAGAATACTGTAACCTACGGAGCCCCTAAAGGGACATGGTGGTGGAAAAAAATCAGATTGAGTGAAAAAATTTGGGGTGGGAGGAAAAAATATTTGTCTGATTTTTTTGTGTTCTCTCGCAAAACCAGTTGAGTTCGGACAAACACTTCCTGTTTACTTTACAGATTGTAGTGGTTCATACAGCTCCATACATTCACAGTGGAGCAGTTCATTGAGTTTTGTTTTGAACTTGGATGAAATAGTCAGTGCATGCTCATCAAGGCACAGTTTTGGGACATTCTAAAACGCTTAATGTAAACCACTGGATGACTAAATTCAGTACATACCTTATTAATAAAGCATACAGACACGCAGAATAGCCCAGAATATGAATGTAACCTGGTACACTGAATTGCAATTTAAGAGTATCCCTCATAGAAAGAAAATGCTTAATTAATGGGACTAAGATATTGGTATAAAAAGGCAGAATTCGGTATACAGTTTATTAATAAATTAAAACCTTTCTGCGTTTAAATGCTTCTCTCTGAGTTCTTCGTTGATACGTCACCTCGCATGTGACGAACCTCGACCAATCAAGTGCTAGGTAATGGTGACGCGGAAGGTTAGTCCTATCACATACGAGATAAGACTTGCATGTGACGAGCCTTGACCAATCAAGGGCTATGTCACGGTGACGCTGCATGATTTGTCTGGGTGGGTTAGTCCTATCACTTACGAGGTTTTGAGCACGACGGAAGATCGCGCGAAACGAGAACATATAAACACAAAAAAGTTATTATTCTGGAATTTTCTTACTATTTTCATTCATTGCTCCATACAATGGCTGGACGTCGCCTCGCTTTCAGTACCCCCGAGACTCCTCAGGGACGAAACGCTTCAAGTCCCACAACGGACCCTGCTGGCAGCTATCAGTGGGCTTTCGCGTCAGTGAAGTGAGTTCTCTGCCGATGTCTCCCGGGAGTTTAGCTCTATCAACGATAGATTGCAGTCTTTGGAAGCTGCTCGACGGAGGAATACAAAAGGAAGAGGCGTCTGCATAATCCCAAAATTGCGGTAAGAATTAATTCCCCAAATGAAATCACTTAAAGTGTTTCGACACTAGTTTGTTCACGGAGTAATTTTTTTCTTGCAATTTGTAGGAGGCAGTCCGTCGGCTACATAAATCACAAGCAAACTGTAGATAAACTCATTTTTAGTTTGAACCCTGGCTGCAAGCCCGCAATTGACTGATGAAGGTCTAGATAAGAGTGCCTTTGTTGGTAAGTAATTTTTTTTAATGTTTCCCCTCTATTATGATTATTTCTGAATAGTTGTTTTTGGTGTTGTTTTTAACACATCTCTTTAATTGTTTATAGTGGCCTGCAAGACATATATTATGAAACTCTGCACAGAAATTTCCGGTACAGCCAATCAGAGCTAGTCAGTGTGGCTGCATCTACTAAGACCTTAGCCCGGAGTCGCCAGAGGAGGAAGAGGGTAAGACGGAATTAGAATCATTAGTTTCTGTTGTATTTTTTCTGATGCATACACTGTAACTATGTGGTACATAGTACTGATTATATGTAACAATTGTGTTTACAGCTGTTGGAGGCTAGGCAGAGTGTACTGGCTGCGGACGAGGTGGACTTCTGGA